AAAAAAAGTATTAGGGGCTGGGGAGATGGCTCGGTAGAATAAGCGCTTGCCTGGCAAGCACAAAGCCTGAGTTTGATCCCCAGTTCTGCCAAAAAATAAAAATAAGGGGGGGAATAAAAATAAAAATAAACATTAAACATAAATATAAAACAACTTTTCCTCCTATATTTGCAATTAAATTATTTTATGTAAGCTTACTGAACACCCTATGTTTTCTGCTGCCATCTACCATCAAGTTATTTAATCCAGCAAATGTATCACAATGAATTTGCATCAGTGCTAAGCAGTGATGCAAAGAGCCAGACCTGAGTGTGAAACTCAGCCGTAATTATTTGTGTGATTTATGACATAGTGCATGATCTTCCTTTGCCTCGCTTCCTTTCTTTTCATAATGGGGCTGATAAAAATACTTATAAAGTGACTGGGCAGAAGAAATTAGTACGTTTCTACAATATAAGAACAGTGCCTAGGGGCTGGGGAGATAGCTCAGTGGAATAAGCACTTGCCTGGCAAGCTCAAGGACCTGAGTTCAATCCCTGGTTCCGCCAAAAAGAAAAGAACAGTGCCTAACACAAAAGTGCTAGCCATTATTAGTGAAATTGCTTACGACATGTGTGGCATCTATGCCCGTTATTCTTTTTTTTTTTGGTCTGTGTTTAGGACAGGGTCTGCAGGGTCGTGCTATGTAAATTGGTCTCTTAGTGACTCTCCTGTCTTCAACCTCCCAAGCACTAGGATTACAGGCATGCCCCAGCTGCTGCGCTCTGCCTAAGCAGGAGCTTTAGTCCACTGAGCTATCAGGCCGGCCTATGCCAGTCATTCTTCATACAACAGCGTGCTAAATGATACAATCCAAGTTGAAAAGAATACAGTCCCTGCTCTCCAAAGCGTCATTTAGGGAAACTTGAAGACAGGAAGGAAGGAAGGAAGGAGACAAACGTAGTAACCTGAATGAATGAACAAATACTGTTGGTTGAATTAATTAATTAAAATTACTTCTGAATAGAGGTTTCAACAAAACTACAGAAAAGAAAATATTTAATTAGGACAGGAGACTCCAGAAAAGACTTCTCAGGAGACTGTGACTTTTAATTTGGACACTGAAGAATAAAAAGTGACTCATCACATAAATAAAGACGATAAAGGTATTCAAAATAGAAACTAACATTATGATAAAAATCCCTGTATTTAAACCATAAATTTAAAGAGTCTCAATCTTCTTCTCCTTCTTCTTTTTCTTCCTCCTCTTCTTTTTGTTTTTGCTTTTAAGTGCTGGGGTTGAAACCCAGGACCTCATACTATGAAGTACTCTATCCTGAGCTATATCCTCTTGTCCTAAAATATTCTCTCCCACAGAGAACAGCTTAGAAAGAACTAAATGTACACACTTCTGTGATCTACTTATGACTACACAAGAACAAAATATGTCACCTATTTTTCTATACACCATTCCCCAATGTTTCCATATTATCTTATTTTTCATGTATTACTATATTTCATAGGCACAAACAGGGTATACTGTTTTCTGATAAATTTGATCCAAAAGTTTTTTTTTTTTGTTTTTTTTTTTTGTAGAACCAGGGATTGAACTCAGGCCCTTGTGCTTGCCAGGGAAGCACTTATTCCACTGAGCCATCTCCCCGGTCGAAAAGGTTTTTAAGTAATGAAGCACAACATATTTTATTTATTTATTTTTTTTATTTATTTGAGAGAGAGAGAGAGAGAGAGAGAGAGAGAGAGAGAGAATGTGGTGTGTGTGTGTGGCCAGCTCAGCCCACCAGGGGGCAGGGCTGGCTGGCATGTGGTGCTGGGGGACTGAACCGCGGTCCCTGATGCCTTGCCAAGCTTGTTCTAAGTAGGTGCCTTAGACCACTGAGCCATCTCTCCAGCCCAGCACAACATATTTTAAATTATCAATCTAATTTATAAATGTAATTCTTTCCCCCCCACCCTTTCTTGAGATGAGGTCTTCCTATGTAGTTTCAGGCTGGCCTTGAATTATGTAGCTCAGGCTGGCCCTGAACTTGTGATGATCCTCTACCTCAGCCTCACCTTAGCCTCCTGAGTGCTAGGATTGCAGATGCACACACTGTGTTTAAAATATAATTCAATTTATTTATTTATTTATTTATTTGGCAGAACCAGGGATTAAACTTAGGCCCTTATATTTGCCTGGAAAGAACTTATTCTACTGAGTCATCTCCCCGGCCCCTCATTTTTATTTAATCTGAGTTTCTTATTAATAATATAAGTAATATCTGGCCAAACAGCTCTGTGTGTGTGTGTGTGTGTGTGTGTGTGTGTGTGTGCGTGAGTGTAGGCTGGTTTTGTTTTGTTTTTGAAACAGTGTCTCACTATATAGTTCAGGTTGGCCTTCAAGTCACTATGTAAGCCAAGGCTGGTCTCAAACTCACAGAGAACCTCCTGCATCAGCATCTGAGTATTGAGATTACAGGCATGTGCCATCATGCCTAGCAACTATGTAGTGTTTAATATAATCAACTTAATACGTTTTTTAAATAATTACACAATCAGTCTATTACCATGAACAGATATGATACATACCTGTGTCTGAAGGACGTAAAAAGTCTGTGTCACAGGTGAAAAATGTCTGATGGTCCTGTGCTGACAGGTTCATGTCATAGTATGTAAGTGGCTCTTTACCAGTTACCCAAGTATATCTTTACCAAAACACAAGAAAATATTTAAATTGGACAAAAGACAGCATCTGTCTGCTACAAGGGACACTATTTAAATTACAAAAATACACAACTATAACTTCTATTTTAGGATGTTACTATACTCAGTAAAACAAAGAGACAAAAGATAATCTTTACAAACCAAGAGCCTGATAATAAAACATCAAAAACAAAATAGGAATACATTATTCAATAAACAGTGCTTTGAAAATGGCATTTAAAGGAATAAAACAATTTGAGTTAGTCATATACCATATTAAATACATGGGATCCCAGGCATGGGGGCTTACACTTGTAATCCCAGTACTCTGGAAGGCTGAGGCTGGAGGATCACCAGTTTGAGCCCAGCCTAGGCAATTTAGTAATTTAGGGAGACCCTGTCTCAAAATAAGAAATTAAAAGGCCTGGCAATAATGTAGCTCAATGTGGGTTCAATCCTTAGTAACATACACACAACACACAACACACACACACCTGACTGAGCTGGCACTAAATATTAAAAGTGAAACTGCAGGGCCGGCGAGATGGCTCAGTGGTCTAAAGCACCTACTTGGAACAAGCCTGGCAAAGCACAGGGACCATGGTTTGATCCCCCAGCACCACACACAGCCAGACCCACCCCCTGGTGGACTGAGCTGGCCACACACACACACACACACACACACTAAATAAATGTTAAAAAAAAAAAAAGTGAAACTGCAGAAACTCAAAGAAAACAGATGAAGGGTTTGTACAGCATAAAATCTAAAAGAAACTTTCCAAAGTTTATTAAAAATTTAAACTTTTACACCTCCCCAGGCATATGATAAATTAATAGCAAGTTAATATGGCTACAAACTACATTTTTAAATTTCAAACCTCTACTGGCACAAAAGTAGACATGTGGGTCAATGGAACAGAATAGAGTATGCAGAAACAACCCCAGGCACATTCAGCCATTGATCTTTGACAACAGGAGCTAAAAGGACAACCATCTCAACAAATGGTGCTGGGAAAATTGTACACATGTAAAAGATTGTACACATGTAAAAGACTGAATTTAGACTCATCATACATCCCTGAATTTAGACTCATATATCCCAGTATGTACTAAACTAAAATCAATAGATAAAATATCTAAATATTAAAACAGAAACACAAACTACTGGAAGATAAAATAAGTAAAACCTTTGAAGTCACAGATGTAGTCAAGGACTTCCTGAACAGAGCTCCAATTGCACAAAAAATAACATCAAGAATCAACAAATGGGATTATATCAAAGGAAATCACTCAGCAGAGTTAAGAGACAACCTACAGAATGGGGAAAATGAAATTGCCAACTATTCCTCAGACAGAGGACTAGTAGCTGGAATATATAGAGAACTAAAAACAAAACAACAACAAAAACCCTTCCTCATCCAATCAGAAAATGGGCAACTGAAATGGATACACTTATAAGAAGTACAAAAGGTCAATAAATACATTTAAAAGTGTTCAATACTTTGACCATTAGAGAAATGAAAGTTAAAACAATACTGAGATTTTATCTTACTCCAGAAAGAATGACTACCATCCAGAAACTGAGTAATAACAAAGACTGGCAAGGATTTGGTAAGATAAAGGATTTCTTCCATATTGTTGGTGGAAATATAAACAAGAACAGTGAATAGGCAACTCAGTATGAAAATTCTTCAAAAAAAAAAAAAAAAAAACAGCTAGAAATTCCACTTGACTGTCATTCTCCTTCTACATATCTTTCCCAAAGAGCTAAGGACATATTACAATGATATGTACATATCCATGTTTATAGCAGCACAATGCATAATAGCTAAGTCTTGAAAGTGGCCTACAAGTCCATCAACAGATAAATGGCTAAAGAAAATTATTTATATACAATGAACTACTACTCTGCTTAAAGCAAGAATCATTTATATTTATATTCTTAAATTCGAATCATTTAGGGCTGATGAGATGGCTCAGTGGTCTAAAGCACCTACTCAGAACAAGCTTAGCAAAGCATAGGGACTGCGGTTCAATCCCCCAGCACCACATGCCAGCCAGCCCC